ACATGTACAAAGGGAGAATGCCAATCAGAATGTTTCATTCATCAAGTCTGATTATAATAAACACAATTAATACATGTTTAGCATTAGAGGCTGGAGATACTCACACTCTGAATTTATAAATCAATGTGCGGTGAGTTTTTGATTTCTGTTTAGAGTAAATAGTCAGGAAGTGGAAGTGTACTGATTTTCTAATGTGTATTTAGAAGAGCCGAACAGACTGGATAGCCTATAATTGAGCACTGCAGGGTTTTTTTTTTGCATTGATGAATGAATTGTGTTGTGATTGGCTGATTGTGTTGTTGTTGTGTTTGTTCAGTGATGCAGAGCTGGATTGTTCATCTGGATATTCTTCAGCAGAGGTCAGTTAATGACTTTAGGCTCATTAGTAAACGGCTAGTTAGTCCACTTACAATTAATAATCTGAACATGCATTGATCAACAATGTAATAAAAGTGATCAGTAGTTGCATCTCAATTTAAAAAATACCATAGTATAGTAAATAGTATAGTAATTCAAGTTTACAGCATACTGTAATTACTAAAGTTGTGTTACTGAGTATTATGGCTCAAAGAACGTCAAAGGAAAATCTGGCGTTTAAGGAAGGTTTATTTGGTTTTTCTTTAGCAGTTAACATTATTTACCCTCTTGTGAGTTTATTTTTATTTTTATTCCTTTTCAAATAAATGCTTAACAAAGTAAGGAAAATGTTCACAGAATTTCGTATTTTATTTTTCTTCTAGAGAAAGTCTGATTGCCTTTAGTTTGGCTGAGATAAAGGTTTATACTATATATAATTATAATATATATTTTTTCGTTGTTTTTCAATTTTATTTTTAAGTTTTGGAAAAAAATCTGAAACTCAAATGTTAACAAAAGCTCATGATTAAAAAGTGTTGTCATGAGTATAGCCAATGCTACTGACATGGCATTAAAACAATAGTAAATAAGCAAAGTACTTAACTAGTACTAGTAAAGTTAAGTAAGTAAAGTACCTAACTTTACTTAAGTTACTTAACTTAATTTGCTTGCTTACTTTACTTACTTACTGAACTTTACTTACTTTACTTAAGCTACTTAACTTTACCTAAATTTACTTAACTTGCTTGCTTACTTTACTTCCCTACCTTAACTTACTTTACTTAACTTAAATTTACTTAGCTTGCTTGCCCACTTTACTTACCTATCAACTTTACTTACTGAAGTTTACTTAACTTTACTTAACTTTAATTAAATGGACTTAATTTGCTTGCTTCTTTTACTTACTAATTTACTTAAGTTACTTAACTACTTGAATTTACTTAACTTGCTTGCCTAACTACTAACTTAGCTTAATTAAATGTACTTACATTTACTTAATCTGTTCTCTTTATTTAAATTTACTTAACTTGTTTGCCCACTTTACTTACCTATTAACTTTACTTAGTGAAGTTTACTTAACCTTACTTAAATTTACTTAACTTGCTTACTTTACTTACCTACTAACTTAACTTACTGAACTTTACTTACTTTACTTGACTTTACTTAAATTGACTTAATTTGCTTGCTTCTTTTACTTACTAATTTACTGAACTTTACATACTTAAGTTACATAACTTTACTTAAAATTACTTACAACTTCTTAATTTGTTTGCTTACTTAAATGTACCTACCTTGCTTGCCCACTTAACTTACCTTTTAACTTAACTTACTGTACTTACTTTACTTAACTTTACTTAAATTTACTTAATTTGATTGCTTCTTTTACTTACTAATTTACTTAACTTACTACTAAGTTTCTTAACTTAAATTTAATTAACTTGCTTGCTTGCCTACTAGCTTAACTTACTTGACTTACTTTTACTTAATTTGTTTGCTTACTTTACTTAAAATTACTTAAGCTAGTAGGTAAGCAAGCAAGTTAACTAAATTAACTTTACTTACATTTACTTAATTTGTTTGCTCACTTTACTTAAATTTACTTAACTTGCTTTTTTACTTTACTTATCTTTACTTAAATTTAATAAGTTTGCTCGCTTTACTTACTGACTTTACTTATTTTACTTAAATTTACTTAACTTGCTTTTTTACTTTACTTATTCTACTTAAATTTAATGAACTTGCTTTACTTAATTACTTTACTTAACTTTGCATCTGCAGGTTCATCCAGACCTGAGCCGGCAGCTGCTGAAGGACGGATATCACCTGGATGAAATCCCTGATGATGAAGATCTGGACCTGATCCCCCCTAAAGCCTTGAGCTCCTCTGTGTGCTGCTGCGCTGAGGTTTCATCCTGCTGCGTGCAGTGACTGAAGCACAAAACACCACATAAGCTCTTTATTTCACTGTTCTCTCTTCTGTCCCGCAATTCAGGAAAACAGTCGTCTGAATCACAAGGTGTCTATTCTGAATTGCATGACAAAGAAGTCTGCATCTCATAATTCTGACTTTTAATGCAATTCAGACAAAAAATTATCTGAAAGAAAGATGTTGACATGGAGTTGCTTGAGTTTAAAAGAATTCTCAACTTTTGCCACTAGAGCAAATGTTTAAGCTTCGTTGCTTTTCTGAGGTAAAACTCAGATTTGCACGAAAAAAAAAGTCTGAATTCTGAGTTTCCCACAAGATCTACAGCTCTTTATTTCATCATTCACACTTCTTTCTTGCAGTTTAGGAAAAATAGTCTGAATCACAAAGTGTTAACTTGGAATTGCATGAAAAGAAAAGTCTTGCATCTCATTATTCTGACTTTGAATGCAATTCAGAAAAAAACAATCTGAAACTAAAGATGTTAACAGTTTATTTAGTCATGAATGCAATGTTTGTCATTAGAGCATTTTTTAGGCTTTATGGCAGTTCTGGGATGAAATGGTGATCTCAGATTTGCACAAAAATGACTGAATTCTGAGTTTGTCACAATGTTGACTGAGTTTGCCGTGATTGAAGCAAAAAACAGCAGAAACAGCTCAAAGCTCTTTCTTTGCTTCACTATTTCTTTATACTTCTGTCTTGCGGATCAGAAAAATACTAGTCTGAATCACAAGCTGTTAATTCAGAATTGCATGAAAAAGAAGTCTTTCATCTCATAATTTTGACTTTCAATGCAATTCAGAAGAATCAAAAGATGTTAACAAAGAGCTGCATGATTTAAAAAAGTCCTACATCTCACTGTTTTGACTTTTTTTTCTTTGCCAGAGTTACAGCTTTGTCAATAGAACTATTTTGTTAGGCTTTATTGCAATTTTGAGATAAAATTCTAGACTCAGATTTGCACTGTGGGACAAGTCTGAAAAAACATTTCCAAGAACAAGTCTGAATTTAAAGATGCTAATTCAGAGATGCATGATTTGAACATTCAGACATCTCATTGTTTTGACTTGTTGTTTTCCTGAGTTGTGACTTTATTTCGTCACTTTTACAAGGTTTTAGGCTTCATCACATTTCTGAGATAAAATTGCAAACTCAGATTTGAGAAAACAAAAGTTTTTCGCAGTTATTCTGACTTAATACAAAAAAAGCAAATTTTGCACAAACAAACTTTGAAATGTTTGAAAAGGCGTGTTTTTTTCTCAGAATTGTGACTAAAGCCTTGAAAAATGTCTTTTTTGCTATTATTTTGACTTCTGACAACTGAAATTTACACCAAAAATATTTTGAAATGCAAGACTCAGAATTGCACTATTAAAATGTCTGAAATCTGACCATTCTGATACACACTCGCCGGCCACTTTATTAGGTACACCTGTGTAACTGCTCGTTAACAAAATTGTCTAATCAGCCAATCACATGGCAGCAGCTCAGTGCATTTAGGCATGGTCAAGAGGATCTGCTGCAGTTCAAAGTGAGCATCAGAATGGGGAAGAAAGGGGATTTAAGAGACTTTGATCGTGGCATGGTTGTTCGTGCCAGACTGGCTGCTCTGAGTATTTCAGAAACTGCTGATCTACTGGGATTTTCACGCACAACCATCTGTAGGTTTTACAGAGAATGCTCCGACAAAGAGGAAATATCCAGTGAGCGGCAGTTCTTTGGGCGCAAATGCCTTGTTGATGCCAGAGGTCACAGGAGAATGGCCAGACTGGTTCCAGCTGATGGAAAGGGAACAGTTGCCTGCTCTGTTGAGTCTCTATTTCTGCTGACACATTCGGATGCTCGGGTCAGAATTTGGCTTTAACAACATGAAAGCATGGATCATTCTGCCTTGTATCAGCGGTTCAGGCTGGTGGTGGTGGTGTAATGGTGTGGGGGAGATTTTCTTTGGCTCCATTAGTACCAATTGAGCATCAACGCCACAGCCTACCTGAGTATTGCTGCTGACCATGTCCATCCCTTTATGAGCACAGTGTCTCCATCTTCTGATGGCTACTTCCAGCAGGATAACGCAGCATGTCATAAAGCTCAATCATCTCAGACTGGTGTCTTGAACATGACGATGAGTTCACTGTACTCAAATGGCCTCCACAGTCACCAGAGCTCAATCCAATAGAGCAGCTTTGGGATGTGGTGGAACGGGAGATTGGCATCATGGATGTGCAGCCGACAAATCTGCAGCAACTGTGTGATGCTATCATGACAATATGGAGCAAAATCTCTGAGGAATATTTCCAGTAGCTTGTTGAATCTCTGCCATGAAGGATTAAAGCAGTTCTGAAGGCAAAAGGGGGTCCAACCTAGTAAGGTGAACCTAATAAATTGGTCAGTGAGTGTGTATTTGTATAAATATATATATATATCAGAATTTTCCATGTACAAAAAATAACTAATCTGAAGAACTTCGCAATTTACAGTTCCACATTTTTGCCAGATTTGTCTTCTTCGCAGTTCTGTCAGTGTCTCTCAGAGGTTGTGAAGTTGCAGGTCAGAATGTGTGAGATTTCTCTTTCAGCAGCTTCTGTAAAAGCACATCTGTAAGATCTTGTGATGTTTTTAAAACGCTTTATTTCCAACTCATTTAGTTTGGCTACTGTAGCGAGATTCCCTGCTGTCTCTGCATCATAGATCCCTCAAAAACTTCATATTTAGGTCACACATCACCCCGAAACAAAGCTGAAAATTAGATTCATATATGATTAGCACTCCTGCACAGCAGCACCATTCGCTCCAGGAGATATTTCTTTTTTTCTTTTAAACATTCATTTTCCCCCAGAAACCAAAGATCACATTGCTGTAATGCAGTAAAATACTTCAACAGCTTATTATTTCTGCAACATTAGTGTATATTATTAGCGTTGCTGCCTTTGAAACCTAACAACAACTACAGCATTACAGTAATGCAGCTGAATATTGAGTCTGTTCATCATTATTGCATTTATTTTGGGGTGAGATGTGAATGTTTGATGCATATAGGACCAGAATAAGAGATGTGCTGTGTGTGTTGTTCTGTTGTTTATTGTTTGAGTGTTATAATCATCCTCAGTCCTCAGAACAGGAATCAAAACTCAACTAATAACCCATAATAGAGCAGTGTTACTGATATTGGAAAAAAGACACTACGTGTGTGTGTGTGTGTGTGTGTGTGTGTGTGTGTGTGTGTGTGTGTGTGTGTGTGCGTGCGCGTGTGCGCGTGTGCGCGTGTGCGCGTGTGTGCGTGTGTGCGTGTGTGTGTCAGGACTCTTTACAGGCTTGTTTATTACCTTTTTTACATGTTCTCTGTGTAAGATTTTTACTGAGCACTAAAGCTTTTCTCTACACACACACACACACCAGGTTACTCTTATACTGAAGTGAGATGTTATTGTAATATAATATTGTGTTGTTTTGTATCTAAACTTGTATAATCAAGAATATTTTTATCCACCGATGATGCTGCATCACCTCTGGTGCGTGTGCGTGTGTGCGTGCGTGTGTGTGTGTGTTCAACACTATGCAACTTCACTTTGTAGCCACAATTGATCAGTTTCTGGGCTGCAATAACGTTACTGATGTGTGTTTTAAAGTAAGAATATTATTTGTATTTAAAATGTTTTGTGAAATTAAAGGAAACAATCGTTACACTGTGTGTGTGTGTGTGTGTGTGTTGGTCATCATCTCACCTGGGTCAGACAGACAGATAGGAGTCAGACTGCACCTTCTGCGCATGAGCACTAGAGGCCGCTGCTGTCAAACTGTTGGACGTCTTTAAGTTTCATTCTTGCGTTTGAAAATGGTCCTACATAATAAATAAACGTGGCCATTTATTGTCTAAATCAGAATAAAAATATGATTTTCCTAGTTTGAAAAATGAATATTTTTGAATAATTTTTGAACAATTTAAATGAATAATTTTTATCAGTTTCTCGGTGAATATAAGCACTATATGTTAATGCATTTAATTAAAACAGATTTATTAACAGGTATATTTATTAAAATATAGAAATATTAGAAATAGGAAGATAATACAACTAAATTAATGTGAAATATTGCACAAAAATACAAACCACAAAATTCTAGCAATCACTCTAAAAAACATTGAGTTATTTATTTAACCCAGTGGTTGACTTATACATACTGTGCTGGGATATTTTAAACCTTTATTAGGTTATTTATTAATAACTCAACCAGTTGGGTTAAATATTTGGTTTATTTTAACAAAAGTGTCTGAAACTAAAATAAAATGGAATTAAAGCATTTTTGGTGCTTTGAAAACTGTATGTTGTTTATTTACACAGTCATGATTATAAAATTGTTAGTAGAACTAGTAAAAGTAGCAATAGTAATACTAGAATGGAATTTTTAAAATCAAAATAACCTAATGCATTGGGTAAAATAACCCATGGTGCTATAATAACCTATAGTTGAGTTATATATTGAGGTATTTTTAATCCAACTATTTTAACAGAAAACATTTTAGATATATTTTTGGTTCTCTTGATTTTTTTTTTTTATTAATATTATTTTCCTAACAAAAATCTTTTTTTTTTTTAAAGATTTACTTTTGGCCTTTTTTTAATACATAGAACAGTATTGAGACAAGAACCGAAGTGGGTGAGAGAGAGAGAGGGTGTAGGGTAGGGTAATGTCGTCGAGCCGGGATTCGAACTTGCAACGCCCTGACGTGATTTTGAAACATATGATGGCGCGCTTATCACTAGGCTAGTGCGCCTGCGATATAAATGTACTTTAAAAGTTGTTTATTAAATTTTTTAACCGGAACAGTGAGATATAGTGATATACAGAATAATAATAAAGTCAACAGTAAATAGAGAATAAAGTCTGATAAATAAAAATGCTTCAATTACTTTAGATGATTCATTATTTCCTGTTTTTTGTTGCTTCAAAAAAACAAACAAATCAATAATCACCACCACAGCATAAATTATTGATTTCAGAGAATTCATCCATTCATTTTCTTGTCGGCTTAGTCCCTTTATTAATCCGGGGTCGCCACAGTGGAATGAACCTCCAACTTATCCAGCAAGTTTTTTACGCAGCAGATGCCCTTCCAGCCACAACCCATCTCTGGGACACACCCACACTCACACAATATGGACAATGTAGCCTACCCAATTCACCTGTACCGCATGTCTTTGGACTGTGAGGGAAACCGGAGCACCCAGAGGAAACCCACGCGAAGGCAGGGAGAACATGCAAACTCCACACAGAAACACCAACTAAGCCGAGGCTCAAACCAGCGACCCAGCAACCTTCTTGCTGTGAGGCAACAGCACTACTTACTGCGCCACTGCTTCGCCACTTCAGAGAATTATTCATTTAAAAATATGATGTTAAGTGTTTTGTAGTCTGCAATTAATATGCTGCTATTATTGTTTTCGGTATTGATTTGTTCATTTGTTTACTTAATTTATTAATTCATTCATTCACCTTTGGCTAAGTCCCTTCATTCGTCAGTTCCATTATATGTTTTACAGAGAGGATGCCCTTCCAGCTCATTCACACACACACACACTCCATACAGCCAAAGTAGTTAAGTTTAGCACCTGGAGGAAACCCACGCCAACACGGGCAGAACATGCAAACTCCACACAGAAACGCCAACTGACCCAGCGAGGACTCAAAGCAGCCAGGATGCAGCCTTTATGATGCAAGCTGAGACTGCATCACTCAGCGACGCAATGTGAGACACAATGCACTCAAATGGAGCTAGTGACGTCACTGTGACGGGTAGGGTTAGGGGTGGGGTTAGGTGAGCCCATTAAAAAGGATTGGATGCAGCCCAGATTGCACTGCACCAGGTCTGCAGCCAGACCCATCTCAAAGCAGCGACCTTCTTGCTGTGAGGCCACAGTGCTAACCACTGCGCCACCGAGCCGCCTCTTAAGTTGAACATTACTAAACTTAATGTTTAAATTCAGCTCATATAAATAGAAATTGATTGCATGATAGGTCCCATTTAAAATGTAGAGAATGCGTTAAGATACAAAAGTCAGCAAAATAAAAATACAGAAATGAAAATACAAAGGTGCATATTAGGAATGTTAAACCGCATGGCGGAAACTGCTCTGTATTTCCTCATTCTCTCTCTCTCTCTCTCTCTCTCTCTCTCTCTCTCTCTCTCTCTCTCTCTCTCTCTCTCTCTCTCTCTCCCTCTCTCAATTAAATTCATTAAAAATAGCTAAAAACGAAGTAAAAAATAAATAAATAGGAGTAAACTGTACATTTAACAATCAACATGTTAGATAAAACAGAAATCAATATTAATAATCAATATTTGATTTACATTGATCAATTTAAATTTGTTGTTATTCATTTATATTTGAATTTATTCTTTTTATTATTATTATTATTATTATTATTATTATTATTATTATTCTTTTTATTATTATTTATATCAGGAGCTCGATAAGAGACAAACAAAGGAGAAAAAAATACAAACTACATTAGCTGCAGAAAGAAAAAAGATTAACAAAAAAAGGAAGGGGTAAGTAAATTACAACTATAAAAAAAGTGTATGAAAATAAATAAATTAAGAGCATTAGGAAAGCGTTCTAACTCAAATCAGAGACAGCAGACAACAGTAGAGCCAGGAATCTGACACATGTTTTGTTTTTACACATGCGGAAAGATTTGAGCAGTGGGTCAACTTCTATTAGCAAATGTCAAAAGTAGGAACTCAAGCCATGCAGTTTTGCTTATGTATAAAAAAATATCTAAACAAGATAAAAAAGTTGAAGATAAATTCTTTAGATTTATGTAAAGATTCTGAGTAATAACAAATAATTTATTTTAAATTATAAGATTGTGCAAAGGTAGAAGGGCTGTTTAAATAACGATAGAGGTCAAAATCAAAATTCACACATGCAAAATAAATGTATTAAAGTTTCCTCATCCTCACAACAAAATGAACAACTACACGGAATATCAACATATTTGGAAACAAACGAGTTAACCGGATATATTATATGCAGGGCCGTGCAGAGACCATCAAAAGGGCATGTGCAGTAGAAATTTTTTGAAGACC